GCACACCATGGCAAAATTTACCATATATCAAGTGAAAGTCATTATATTATGTAGAAGCAAGACGAAGAAAAATTGATATCGTTGTTCTCATAGAGTTGTGTTCACCGCTTTGAGTAGGATTCCCTGTTATAAAGATGCAAAATGTGTCCTTTTGCTAAGACATTCAAACTAATGCCTTACACTTTAAATCCACAGTTGCATGGATGTCCAAGAAGTGCCCTCAAGGGCTCGTCCGGGATTTGAACCCGGGACCTCTCGCACCCGAAGCGAGAATCATACCCCTAGACCAACGAGCCTACAGTTAAAATCCCTTACCTGTAGGGGGTGCTCTCGGCCTAGATGGCATGATGAAAACGCCTGAGTTTCCACCAGTCGGTGACAGTTTGGTCCTGTTCACACACATTTGGAAGGGCGGTGCATGGCAGTAGCTCGTTGGTCTAGGGTTATGATTCTCTCTTTGGGTGTGAGAGGTCTTGGATTCAAATCCCAGACGAGCCTGCTATGGTTGTGTAAAGAGAGTACATTGTTAAGAAAGCTGGTGTTATAATCCATATCTATTCCACAGGAATGTCATGCAAATCTTGGAAAAACTTACAGGTTGAAGGTATGGGTTTGTTATTCCTTGGCCTCCTAGCATTTTCAACACCCTATTGTCCTACAACTGCTCAAACATCAACTACATGTACAGGGGTTGGACACTGAATCACCTGTCATTTTAGTGTGGGAGGTTTCATGGCTAAATTGGACCAGCCTGGTAGCCAGTCTTCACTGATTGCACATTATAGCAGAGTGTGAAGGTTCAATTAGCAGGGTAAGAGCACAGTTTTGCGCAAAATATTGAAATGCACACGACATTATGGGTGACATACCAGAGTTCAACAAGAGGACAAATTGTTGGTGCACGTCTTGCTGGCGCATCTGTGACCGAGACAGCAAGTCTTTGTGATGCATCAAGAGCCAGGGTAATGTCAGCATACCACCAAGAAGGACGGACCACATCCAACAGGATTAACTGTGGACGCAAGAGGAAGCTGTCTGAAAGGGATGTTCGGGTGCTAACCCGGATTGTATCCAAAAAACATAAAACCACGGCTGCCCAA